CTCACGAGACTCCCATCCTACCACCTCTCTCAATATATCTCCTGGCGCACCCCCACTCCTTTTCTATCTTACCTCATGCGAGGAACATCACTCTCGACTGGAGCAACCTGACCAGACAGCGGACGCGGGCACTGATGCTGAATGGGCTCCCCCATTCAGCCCCAGTTGAGGCACTAGCGTACAAACCTCGTTACACACACGTACACTCTCTCACACACACATGCACACACAACACACACAGAGACACATAAATATTGCATACACATGGTTCCACACAATGTCATATGAAAATAGTCTGAAAATTGAAAAAAACAAAGAATAAAAAAATGAAGAGATAAAATTCACCCTTGCGAGAAAAACCGTTTGCTTCATGGGAAAGAGAGAAATTTGGAATATGAGAAAAGCGTCACGCATGAGCAAAAATACAAAGCCTGCAAAGCTACAAGACTCACATCAGGTATACCACGGTTATCCGATGGGAACCTCTACCCGCCCGTACCCACCCGTTTTTTTTTTCGGTCACCGTACCTGCCCGTACCCGTCTATTTTCTTTTTCTGGCTGCCCATACCCATTTTTTTTTCTTTCACCCGTACCCCTACCTGCCCCTACCCACCCATGATCTCCAAAAAGGGCAATTGTGCCCGCCCTAACAACCACCACCTTTTGTTTGTGCCTGCCCATACCCAACTCCCCCTTCTGAAGGGGTACCCATACCCGCCCGTAACCTGGCAGTTGTAGTTGGGTACGGCTGGGTACGGGCAGCGGTTACCCATTCGCGCTCTCTGGCGTGCATGCATCTACACACACGGTTGCAGAGAAGGACACAAAGCCTTCACTCAACTCGTTTGCGTGCTGTGCAGGTTGGTGCGGATTGGAGGGGTGGTGTGTAAGGGCGACTCCAAGAAACCAGCAGACTCAAATTTGCCCTGAACGTGAACGCGCCCTGGCCCCCATGGATTTCTTCATGTACAATTTTTAGGCTGACCTTGCACATATACATATGTATACATATGTATATGTGCAAGTGTGCCGCTTTGTAAGGGCGACTCCAAGAGACCAGCAGACTCAAATTCGCCCTGGCCCGCATGGATTTCTTCATGTACAATTTTTAGGCTGACCTTGTGTGAGGCCGCCAAAGCCACTCTAAAAAAACAGCCGGTAGCGTCCTTCAGTGTAACGAGAGGGAAAGCCCCCCTACTGGTACCGCTTCAAGAAATTCTTGGACCTGCAGAATAGAACACCTGGGCGTTCCATACTTGTGTTTTTTCAGGGATCCTAGCGCCGGAAAGGTTGGTGCACTTTTGCAGAATACAACGCCTGGGCATTGTAAACGAATGTGACGCCCATAAGGCGTTATATAACTTATATTCATATATAACTCACGGGTGTTATTTTCGGGTGAACACGGTAGTAGTTGCACAGCGCTCTTTTACGAGTGTTGCGGTATTATACTATTCTAGTATTCTCCCATTCCTTCCGTCTTGTAAGTGGCATCCTTCCCTGATTTCCACCGTACAGTTGAATTTACGCTACTTGAAGCTTACACTCCATTCCTACGCTCTGGGAATATGGAAGAGGGAAGGGAGGACTTCCCTTCTGTGAAGCTTCCACCTAGGTCAAACTTGCTTTGAAGACCTAGAATCAGGGAATGTGCCACCGAGATGAGTGCAAGAGTGTAGTGATCCGTGTGTCAAGATGTTTGTGAATGTGCCTTTCCTTGTTCAATCTCTTGGACCAGGAAAAAGCGCCGAAGCCCAGACTTGATTGAATGCCGAGTTAACTTGGGGAAACAGAACAGGGAAAGAAACTTGGAAAAAGTTCTGTGTTTTAGTTCTCGCTTCTATGTGACGTAGCTTAATGCTCTCGCAATTGATGGTTCCATGATGATATCCAAGCTGGTGTACCTGCCTGATGATGGAATGGTACGGAGTGCTGCACACATGTCGCTTCTAATGAAGAAAGTTTGTCCTGTTGCTTGCACTGAATGCAGATGATCAGAGTCCTGGCTTCCCCTTTGCCCCAGAGGATCTTGAAATGAGTGTTGAAATGCAAGCTCTGGGTTTACCCTCGGCGTTTACTGCCAGTCAAATGAAGGTATCGGGCCGAAACTCATAACCTCTGTACGTCCTTCTCTTCATGCCCTGCAGAATTCCACAGTGGCCTGCTTACTGGCCATGCTACTTTTGTCCGCAGAGTGCTGCATATGATACTTCCATCAGTTAGGATTCCCTTGTGCTCAGGGGGAAAGACCTCCAGGAATATCACCACCTTTCTCTCACAGTAAGAAGAAATTTATTATCATCAATGTGTAATTGAAAGTCCAATGGTCTTTTGTCACAGTAATCACAAGCAAGCAGGAATACATAGAGACAAAGCAAAAGAGCGGGGGGAGGATTTGTGGCAAATCAAGAGCGGAGCATTAAGACTTGCTTCCCATGTTTGGCGATTGGGTCAGGCAACTGAATTCTCTCATTTGCTTCAACACCTTAACAAATCACCGCAAGCTCAGGGTCTCGTAGTTTGCAGGTGATTTCATCCACAGCTGCTACTGCAATCAACTGCTCAAGGTGATGTGCAATTTCCGTCTGAATGTGTTTAACTTGTAGAATGGTTAGCGGCCCTACCTTGCAGTTCTGGGGGATTGTCATGAGCTGGAAGTCTTATTGACATTTATCTATTGGGAAGTTTTGTGAACTTTTGTCACATAAGCATCGAAGTAGAGTTTGAGCACCCCTCTACATGCACACAACCTAGCTACAGTGGAAAAAGAAGATGAGGAAGGAGAGAGAGAGAGAGAGAGAGAGAGAGAGAGAGAGAGAGAGAGAGAGAGAGAGAGAGNGGGCGCAGGGAGGTGGTAAGCAGATGTAACGAGGTCTGTCTTTCTTGCTACCAGTATGGCATAGTGTGGTGAGTTCGACATGCAACCAATCAGCTTACATTCATATATGAGCGATCGTAGCCACTTGTGATCCTGCTGTTATGGGTAAGAAAGGGTGAACAGAATGAGAAGGTTCATTCAAATTTGATATATTGTGTGCAGCAAACCGAGAGAAAGAAATGCCCAAAAAAGAAGGCAAAAAAGAAGTCCAGGAGCAAGAAGCTGGAAAGGCCAAACATGTTAGCATCACCAAATGCGGAGGACACAACAGCGGTCGCTTGTAGCCATTCAGATGAGTTTCCGGAATGGACTAATGCGAGTGCTGATTTCATGGAGCGTTTTACCACGGAGGCCATTGAAGACCAGACTGTTCTGGATGGCAGGCATCTTCCTCGTGGAGAAGGCTTTCTAAATCCAGTGGATCCCGCTGTGACAGAGGACCTTTGTGCAAGGGGGATGCCATTCGAGACCCATCCCAGTTCTGCACCCACTCGACCAGTGGACAAGGCCTGTGAAGAAACAGAGAATAGTGATGACGGACAAGTCAAGTGTGATGATGAGCTCAGTGGTGATGCTCTACCCAGAGAAGGTGGTGTGGCTACTGAAGTGCTGTCCGGAAAGTGCATTGCTTCTGCTGCTGCTGTGGATAAAGAGAGCACATACTCACTACTTGATGGGCCTGTTAGTGGAACGTCTCTGGCTGGTACTTCATCAGTCGAGCTAATCACTGAACGACAGGATCTGACCGTAAGTGGGAGAGACGAGGAGGGTGCCCGATCCCTGGACACTGGCAAGGCTGTCGTCTCGAAAAAAAATGGGCTTGATGAATGTTTTGCTCATACGGAAAGGGAGGGAAGCATCGATGATGGGAATGAGGCGAGGTTGGCAGGACAAGGTCATCCGTCAGATGATGCCGTGCAACAGAGGAAGAACACATGGGAGGCTGTCTTCGATTCAGAAAGTGGTTACTATTACTTCTACGATACAGATACATGGGAAACAACGTGGGAAGCTCCTCCTGGTTTTGAGTCGTATGCATTAGGGAGGAGTTTGCAAAACCATGGCCATGAGAAGGAGGGTCGTGAGCTGCCTGAGCATGCCGACAATCATACCCAGCAACATACTCTCGATCATGTGGTGACCGAGTCTTCCATGTCAAATTCATCAGGTTGTATTGCAGTTGGACCTGAACATGGGCAATCTGTGTCCGGGCAGGGGCCAGTTTACCCTTGTACAGATAACAAAGTCAAATGCAAGGACAGAAACACCAGTGATGTCAGCGCTGAGTTAACGCACAGTGGCGAGCAGACGAGTGATGCTACTGTGGAAGTGGAGGGTGTCGATGCAAGTAACCTTCTCGGGAAGGGGAAGACCAGTGAAGTTGGTTTTGGAGGTGTGAATGGAATCTCATGCAAGGATCACCATCTCCAACTGGAAGACGGGAGCCCGAAGGATGGTAGTGATGAGCGGAGAACTGATGTGCCAGTGCAGCAGCCAAGTGACACGGAAACGAAGGGGGCTGTCCCATGTGTGAATGATGTGTGGGAGACGGAGCAGATGGTGGATGTTTTGACAAGAGAAGACGATGCAAGGAGCATTCCCAAGAAGGGTGAGGCCAGTGAGGTCAGTTTTGGTTGTCTGCATGGAACCCCAACTCCAGATCGTCATCTCCAACGGGCAGACAGGAACCCCAAAGATACAAGTCATGAGGGAAGAAATGATGGGCTAGTGCAGCAGCCAAATGACATGGAAATGGAGGAGACTCTCTCATGTGTGAATGCTGTGTGGGAGAAGGGGCAGGAGATCGATGGTGTTGCTTTGAAAAGGGAAGATGATGCAAGTAGCATGCCTAAGAAGGGGGACCCCGGTGAGGTGAATTTGAGAAGTCTGCATGTATTCTCATCGACTGATCACCGTCTCCAACTGGAAGACAGGAACTCCGAGGATGCTAGTGACAAGGTAAATGGTGGGTCAGTGCAGCAGTCAAATGGCACAGAAGTGGAGGAGACTCTCCGATTTGGGAGTGCTGTGCAGGAGACCGGGCAGGGTTTGAATAGAGAAGGTGGTGGAAGTAGCGTGCCCAAGAAAGGGGAGACCAATGATTCTGGTATTAGTTGTGTGCATGGAATGTCATCTATGGATCACGATCTCCAACTGGATGACAGGAATCCCAAGGATGCTAGCGACAAGGGGAGAAATGATAAGCCGGCGTCCGGTGTAGAGGATCCAAATGACAAGGAAATGGAGATTCTCCCATGTGTGCATGCTGTGTGGGAGAAGGGTCAGGAGGCCAATGCTGTTTTGGAAAGGGAGGTCGATGCAAATAGCATGCACAACAAGGGGAAGACCGGTGAAGTTGGTCATGGAAGTCTGCATGGAATCTCATCTACAAAGGATGCCAGCGACGACGGGATGATTGATGAGGGAGTTTTCACAGTGCAGCAGCCAAAGGACACAAAAATAAAGGAGCCTATGTTATGTGTGAATGGTGCGTGGGAGATTGGGCCGGCGGCTGATGTAGAAGTCGAAACGTCTCACGATTTTGCTGAGGAAAGAGATGCTCATCATGGCGAAAACAGGGAGCAAGAACAGGCTGATGGCATGGCTGCAGCGTTGCCATGTTGTTCTTTAGAGGCGACTGAAATGACAGGTTGGACATCATCTGTTGGAAATGCAGCTGTTGACGTTGATGAAAGACCAGACACTGGTGTTGTGGAGGCGCTTGCAGCAGCCATGTCTACCCCTGCTGAGGCACTTGCAGCAGCCATTTCTACCCCTGCTGAGGATCCTTCAGATAAGGAGGAGAACATGCTCAAATTCAGTGAATTGGCTCAACAAACCCATGCTGGGATGGAGGGCTGCAAAGTTTGGCAAGATAAGAAAGCAGGATCTGCTACTGGGGTTGCACCTTACGGCGATGATGTGATGGCTAGTTCTGAGGGGGATTTTGCGCCTGGCTGCGATGCGGGTCACAGTGAAAGGGTTGTGCCTTGCAATGATGATGTGATGGCTGGTTCTAATGAAGGTGTTGAACTTTCCCGGAAGGTGCAGATTGAGCTCCCAAGTCCTGTCAACTATCCTGCGATGGTGATACCAAAGAGTCTCATGAGTATGAGTGAATGTTCTGGAATGAGACCTGATGGCGAGCAGAGTGACAAGTGGTGTGTTGAGGAGGAAAATGACCAAGTCACATGTCTGGCCTCTCCAGTGGGTTCGGGCTGTTCCCTGTTCCCAGCCTCAGGACACAGGTATAGCATGAGCTGCATGACAAGTATCAAGTATTCACTATTCAGTTAATTTCTTTGGCATGCTCTTTTTGTTATGCTCTGAAGTTCTGAACACGGTTAACCTTTTTTTCCCTTTTTTTTCATACATAAAACAGTTCCTTATGGCCCTGGCTCCATATCCATTATGGGGAGTGTCAGTCCGGTTGCTATTCCACCGGCAAGTCAGAAAAAAAATTACATCATGAAACACACTGACACTTCCCTCCGTCTGGCCGAAGGAACCCTGACTAGCATTGATTACTCCAGCATCGTGGAGGATTGACTGTCAGCTTGCCTTGCGTCCACCTTTCCTCTCAGGTCCACTGCATGAACCCGCAAGATCGATCATAAAGAACAAGAAAGGTATAGAAGCTACGAAAGATGCGGTCTGGGAATTTGCCATTCAAGATTACGTGGCCTGTGATGGATCTTGTCCTTCTGCTGGCTGAGATCTCTGCCTTCTACACCCCGCTGAACGTGGTTAACCTCATTTATTCTTTTTACAAAGTGAAATTGTTCTGCCAGCATTGAGCTGTTGAACCCTTATATGCACACTGCTCTCAGGGCTGGTCTGGAGGATAGGCTTGACTGTGAATTTGTGAGGCTGGCAAAACCAGTAGCGGTGTTTTCTTTTGTTCGTTTTTTCATGTCTGGAGGATGTTCTTTTGCTCTTTTGTCCTTTCAATCTTATAACCTCACACTTGCCAGTTTCACAGAAGCCCCTTCATGGGTTCTACATGTCCAATGCAAGGAGAGGGTTGTAATGACAAAACATCTGGGCCGTGAGGGAGGACAATAGGCTGTCTCCAGAGTCAAGGTATCCATTTTCATGTACTATGCAGGGCTAGGCCGGCAACCGGCTGGTTGAGCTGGGCCAGTCCAGCCCAGGCCGCGGACCGGTTGGAGGGATTCAACCGGAAAACCGGTTTACTCCAAAAAATGCCCCGTTTTTTTCCTCTTTTTTTTGACGTGAGGATCCGACTGCGCTCGTTCACAGCTGTCCGATTCCGCAATAAGACTTCCAAGGCAGATTTTATTTTGGAGGTGTACCATGACTATGTCTGTATCTGGTGGAGGAGGAGGAGGAGGAGGAGGAGGGAACGAAGAAGAAGAAGAAGAAGAAGAAGAAGAAGAAGAAGAAGAAGAAGAAGAAGAAGAGGAAGAAGAAGAAGAAGAAGAAGAAGAAGAAGAAGAAGAAGAAGAAGAAGTTTTGACGATTGAAATGTGAAAAAGAGAAGGAAAAAAACGAGACAGCTATGTCTGTCTATGGACGAGAAGGAGGGGGGAGGCAGATGGTCGAGGGGGGAGGTCGACGTTCGTGAAAAAGATAAAAAAAAGGCATGAAGGAAAAGACGAGGAGAGGAGGAAGAACAAGAAGAAGAAGAGGAGGAGAAGAAAAGAGGAGTGGAAAAAGAAGATGAAGCAGAAGAATGGGAGGAGACGATGATGACGAAGAAGAAGAAGCGGAGGAGAAGAAGAGAAGATGAAGAGTGGAAGAAGAAGAACGGGAGGAGACAAAGAAGCAGCAGCAGCAGCAGCAGCAGCAGCAGCAGCAGCAGCAGCAGCAGCAGCAGAAGAAGAAGAAGAAGAAGAAGAAGAAGAAGAAAATATGAACTTGAAGAGGAATAAACGAAGAAGAAGAAGAAAACAATGAGAAACAGAAGAAAAGAAGAAGGACAAGAAGAAGAAGAAGAAAAGAAGAAGAAGAAGAAGAAGAAGAAGAAGAAGAAGAAGGCAGAGCAGGGAGGGGAGTGGGAGAACTCTTCTCTCTCTCCCTCTCTCGCTCTCTCCCTCCCTCTCTCTCTCGAATATGAAGACCAGGACCACAACGACATGACCAAGAAGAAGAAGAAGAAACCTGGCCGAGGGGGGGCGATGGAGTAGCTCGCTGGCGACGCTCGTCATGGCAGGCGATGGCGCAACTCGGTGGCGGGGGGGCGTGCTGGCGGGGGGCCGCGATGGCGCAGCTCGCTGGTGATTTGCAGCGCTGCTCGGACACGGGACGCAGCGGCCGTAGGCTGCTGGGGGTTCAGGGGGCCTGGATCCGCCAACCGTATCCCCCTTCCAACTTCTCAATGTGGGAGTTCGAATGAACTCCCACCAGGTTGCTCTGAAAGAGGCAACTGATCTTGGCCGCTGATCTATGGCGATGTGTGACCAAGATCAGCCGCCTTTTTTTTTATGAACTTAAGGGCATACCAGCCCCGCTTTTGTCACTGCGTGGCAGTAGCTGCCCCCGCAAGGCAGACTGAAACATTTTGACACATCAAAATGTTTTTTGGGACCAGGAACCAACCGGGCCAGCCCACTGGCCGGTCCCACCGGGAGGCTCCTGGTCGAGGGAGTTGTCCCCAGGCCATCCAGGGATGAGCACTGGTACTACGGAAACTTTGGCGCCACACTTCATACTGGGACACAGGAAAAAAAAACAAAAGTTGTGCTAGTAACAGCGGAAAAGCTTGGAGGAGCTAGTCTCTACCAGAGTAACCTAGCGGGGGCCGCTCGGCCTGGCGACCCGGGGGAACCTGCCCGGGGGACACCCTGCCCAGGGTACCTGAGCGACAGCAAAAGGGGGGTCAACTTCCTTGTCTTTTTTCCTTTTGACAGTGGGACAATTTTGCGTCTACTGACGTGTGTGCAATAAACTCAGTTCATGGCCACACCGTCATGGGCAAGGCTCGTCACTTTTGGTCAAAAGGCCAGAAACAGGGGTCAAAGGTCATGTCCCAAGTCGGAGAAATGTCTAGGAAAGGGCCTAACGTCAAGGGGTATCAGGGCCTGGGTCAAAAACAGCATCCAGTGCCCCCACGTGAGGTAGTTGACTCTTGGAAAATCAAGAGTCAAACCAAGCACGGGAAAAGAAGACCCAAAGTCAACCCAGTAGTCAGCCCCGGCCATAGATCACATGCACATCAAAGGTTTTCTGCAGGTATCCAGAAGATTCCAGTCCCGGCTGGGAAAAGGTACCGCTGGTTCAAGGCTGCATCCAGGCCGTTGAGATGGGGCAAATCTGGACCGTCGACACCATCAAAGGGGAGACTGCCTTGCGCTGGCTTGATGCTAGTCTGTATTGGGAGGCTGCGGGAGTGGGATGCTGGCGCCGGATGCTGCTGGAGGGCACCAGCCTAGAGGGAGATTATGTTGGCATGACCATAGCTGCATAGATGTAGACTAGGTGAGGAGGATTGGCGAGGAGGAGGAGGATCAGGGCTGTGAGACCGACAGGAGGTGAAGGGAAGCTTACCTGGTCTTACCTGGCGACGTGTGATCAGCTGCTGGTATCCACGAAGGTGAGGAAGTGCAGCGCCATCCTCCATTTCTTATTGCTGATGTGGAGGGAGGATGGGTGCCCTGCTATGATCTGCGCAGGTAATTATGTCAGAGGAGATCAGAGGGAACATGCTGAGGTGGCAATAGGGGAGAAGCCGGAAGTGGAAGTGGGAGAGAGAGAGAGGCATACATGTACTATTGATTATCATTGAGACTCTCCTCCTCCTCTTCTCCGTCTTTTCTCTCCTCTTTCTCTTATCGCATGCTCTTCTTTGATGAGACGATACTTTTTGAGTTATGCATATGATCGAGGCATGGACTTGTAATTGTTTTTGGAGACTTCATGAGGCGCATTGGGTTCAGAGTTCTATTGGATTGCTGACTGGCTTCTCAATGAGACTGGCTTAATTACGTGTGCCCAAATCCAGGCTTATCTTTGAATTTGGTAATTTGTCACCAAAGGGTGTATATGGGGTAAGGGGGGCAAGGAATTAGGTGCCTAGGCAATGCTTGAAAAGGCTGCGCCCACCCTTAGTGAAGGTGGGCCTGCAAATTTTGGCCTTTTACTGATTTGAGGTCCGTGAGAGCAGAAAATGGGGCCCTGTGGGTTGGTTCCTGCATGCAGTATCTCCAACCAACCAGTAGGCCTGAACCACCAACTTGTTTGATGATGCCGGGGCCTGGCCAGAGATGCTAAGCCCCAGGGTCTGACAGTTTAGCCCCACGAACATTCTGGAAGGGGCCCTGGGCGCAGCTACTGGGACTAGGGCGCCGCCACACCAGCCAGGCTGCGAGCCCATGGCGATCCCGCCAGCCAGCTCAAAAGCAAGTGAGCCTTGCTCACTTCTCAAATGCTGGCTGGAAGCTCGTGTGGCAGTGCTGCTGGAACGTACACTAGAGGAGAGTCGAAGAGAGCGCTGGCGGGGTGCGAGGACACTGCTGGGTGTGCAGCAGGGCGGAGCGCAGCGGCCATAGCCGGGCTGCTGGTGCTCATAGCTGGCGGTGGAGAGCGGTGGTCCTTGGGCATAGGGACCTGTGAGGGGAAGACGGGAAGAGCGATGTGACCAAAAACTGAAAGCAGGGTAGGACGGGCCTGTCCGAACTGGCCGTACGCCCGTCCAAATGCCCGTACGGATGGGCCGTCCAATGAGCCGCCGTACGGTGCTCGGGGGACTACACAGCTTATGCCTGTACCGAAGCCTGTCGGCAGAGGAAGACTGCGGAAACCACAAATGCAGTTCCGGGTCGCTTTCAGGCATCATATGGATCTGAAAGAAGATCGGTGGTTCTCGAAAGAGGAGCTGATGAAAACAGGCCCTCAAGTTGTATCCCAGTATGAAAGAATGTCGGAGGGGAAACACCAGGTGGATTGAAGGTTTCTCATGGGACTTTCAAAACAGAGGGGGAGGGAGTGCGAGCAGTCTGGCCCCTCGGCAATGCTTGAATAGGCCGCACCTGCCCTAAGTGAAGGCTGACCTTCAAATTTTGGCCTTGGACTGATTGGAGGCCGGTGAGAGCAGAAAATGGGGGCCTGTGGGTGTTGATTCCTGCACGCAGCATCTCGAACCAACCGCTAGGGCTCAACCCCCGACTTGGTTGAAGATGCTGGGGACAAGCCAGAGATGCTGAGGCCCTGGGCCTTACAGTTTAGCCCCGCGAACATTCTGGAAGGGGCTCTTGGCGCAGCTACTGGGACAAGGTTGCTGCCACTCCAGTCAGGCCGCGAGCCTGCCAGCTGGCACACAAGCAAGTAAGCCTTGCTCACTTCACAATGCTGGCTGGAGGTGCAAGTGGCAGCGCTGCTGGAATACGCACTGGAGGAGAGCCAGCCAGGGAAGGAAGAAGGCGCTGGCGGGGCGCAAGGAAGCTGCTGGGTGCGCAGCAGGGCGGAGCGCAGCGGCCATGGTCGGGCTGCTGGCGCTCAAAGCTGGTGGAGGAGAGCTGTGGTCCTTGGGCATGGGGCCTGCGAGGGGAAGACAAGGGAAGATCATTGTGACCAAGGCACTCACCTGGTGAAGACGAAAGGCTGTTGACTCTTTAGTCTTCATACGTTCACTACGTCCACAGGAGCTGTCTGTCAGTAGTCTGGGTGTTGAGCGCCATATAGGAGAGCTACATTGTTGACATTGATGGTTGGAGGCGAGATGGGGGCTTTCGTTATCATGCGACTTCGACACTTTGCTCATACTTATTTGGTGTAAGCTCGGTTTGCAATCTGCTTTCAGTTCATGCTCAAATTTATCTGGACTTCTGTGGATTCAGTGTGGAATGCTTTTTTTTTTTTTTTTTTTTTTTTTTTGCTGCAATCTGGTTTGTTGTCGTTCGCATTGCTCATACCCTTGCAATTAAAGCAATTTAGTATTTTACTATTTTGTTTTTATTTTCTAATTCAAATTATTTGACGAATCGGCCAAAAGTTGTTCGATTTGCTATTCTGCATGACATAGTTTTTTTCATATTTTTTTCTTTTCCTTTTTTTTGCACAGGGGATGGCCGGAACCTTGGCCGGGAGTTTGTCCGGACCTGGCCGGGCTGGGCCGTCGGGCCCAGTCAGAGTCAACCCAGGCGGCCCGGCTGGTAGCCCAGGGGAGGAGGATAAAGCTTGTGAGAAAGGGAAGGAGTCTAAGGCTGGTGCAACCTTGGCAGCATTTGAAGATTTTGCTGTGGTGGCTCACTGAGCATAGACCCTGTCAGAAAATTTGGTGGAAAGGCTGAGAAGTCTGGGGAACCCAAAGCCTTTTTGATGGAAAAATGAATCTGTGTGCACCCAACTGTATGTACAGTTTGTCGCTGGCTCCGTTTAGAGAAGTGAAAGAAGGGATAGTTAATAAGCCTTAGCCATTTGCAGGCGGGTTGGTGGCAAACGGTGTGGTTTGTGATACAATTCATTGATTTGGGAATGGTATGCCTTTTGTGTTGCATCAGTTTTTTTTTGCACTGAAAGTTAATCTCTCTCTGAGTTTCTTCATAGTGTGTTCTCAGAGCTTGCTTGCTGTTGGGAATAGATGTTCTCATGGGGAGTACTCTCCTCCCTGTTTTGTGGTTTGCTCATCGCGTTTTGCAATGGATAAAACAGCCTCAAAGGAGTTCCTCAGCCGTCAGGCACTCATGTTCGATTTGAAGACACTGAATCAAGTTCATGTGATGATGAGGTTGAGGAAGAAAGACCAAGCCAAGTCAAACGTCCAAAGGCCAATCATTTCACAGAGTGCCTGCCGGTGCGGGAGAGTTCTTGTCCCAACTACTCAGAAAAGATAAGTTCTGCCGCTCTGCACCTGATGGCAGATGTTGCGGGTGCGGGCTTGACTTCGTCTCCTTTTGACCTTTCTGATGGCGATGTTTCATTACTTGGCACTTTGTATCCTCGGCCTTGTGTGCTTCCGAAAACGAATGCGCTGCTAAATGCTTGTGCTAGATTTATTGATAATGTTTCACTTGTTGACCAAGGAGTCCAGCAGATGGGGCAGCCCGAAGAAAACGGGTATGTATGGCAGAAGGGTAACCATGACGAACAGGCCGGTGAAGGGTGTGGGATAATGAGTCCGGGACGTCCTGTCCCCTCTCTCCAGAAAGTTGCATCGGTTGCCAGGGGGAATGGTGCTACGTTGCAGTTCGATTATGGGTTCATCCCTCATCAGGGGTCCTTATCTTCATCTTTCCTTTCCATGGAAAATCAGACTATATCATTTGGATCAAAGAACGTGAATGCAGGGACAGGAGGATTAAAACAGGTCGTAATCACTGCTGATCAGAAGCTGAAGGTCGCTAACAGCCGACAAATGTGTTTGATGTCTGATGCTGCCAGGGAGGAGGAAGGAGGGGATGACTGTGGAGTGGCAGCAGTAGAGACTAAGGAGAGGAAGCACCGGCCTGCTAGAGCAGGTCCTTCAGCAAGAGCTGCATTACCGAAGGCTGCCTGGAAGTACTGGACAAACCGATACAGCCTCTTCTCTCTTTTCGACCATGGCGTGCTGCTTGACACAGAGGGTTGGTTTTCTGTAACACCAGAAGTGGTTGCTGCCCACCATGCAAAGAGGTGTACCACGGGAATCGTCGTGGATGCATTTGCCGGAGTCGGTGGTAATGCTATCCAATTTGCAATGACGTACGTTTGCCTGTATTTTTGGTGTCTTACTTGTGCAAAATGAACATGTTGTTTCTTAGCTCTTCTGTAAAGTGGTTTTCAATTCACCGATTGAGCAGAAAAGTGAAGCTGTCATTGCCAGAAAGTTGACATGGAAGACAGCTGGGCTGGGTTTCATTCAAAAATTAAAAAATGTGTGGGATCGAGCAATCAATCGGTCATTTGTGGGGCTAATAATCTTATTGCTGAAGGTTCAAGTCCTACTCCTGCCAAGGGCTTGCCAGAGCAGGCTGTGACGGTGGACTGATCTCGTGTACACTGTCAGAGAGAAGTCAAGTTCGATGCTATAATGGTGGTGGTTTAATTTCTGATGGATTGGATTGGATTGGATAAAATTAGGTTGATTAGGTTGGACTGTGTTAGATAACTGAATTAGGTTTGATCTAGGCTATGTCAGCATGGGACTGGTGTGGTTATTTTAAGCGTATCAGTTGTGGTTCAAAATCCCAGCTTGCTTCCGAAAACCATGTTCAGGCCTCATGGGGGGTACAGAGCATCTAAGGAGGCTTAGACCACCACTACCTTCGATCCTCTTTTTGCCGAGGTGGAGGAGAACTGCAGGCCGAGGTCTGCCATTGCACCAGCGCAACCTTTTTTCTCTTGTTTTTGGCGCCACATTGAGCTTCGTTTGTAATGAGCCCACCTTCAGAAGCTTACAATGAAATGTCACATCAACACATAAGCAAATTGAGACAGTAAGACTATGTGAAGAAGAAGATCAAAAGCATGAATACAACGTTCAAACTGCTTCTTCCTTTACTCCACGCGACCCACCGGTCTGGACACAATGTCACTTGCCAAGTCAACCTCTCTACAGCGCTGGCTATCCCAGGCTAGCTCAATGACGCCGGAACTCGGCCTGACACTGTCAATCTTCTGCGGCAGCTTGGAGTTCTCTTCCTGCAAATCACAAGCACTTGCCTCCCTGAAGCTATGGTGACCTTCTCTCTCATCCGCCGATCTCACTAGCACAACTACCTCATTCTCTGTATAGCACAAGCACAAGCACCAACCAGATGAAGTGCTGGATGATGAACGCTGGTCTCGCCCCTCTTGGAGTCTTCTTCCCCAGGTAGCTATGGCCGCAAGTCAACAGGTAAGCTTCCTACACCTTCTTGACAACCGTTGTGCAATGGTTGCGTCCTCCTTCCTATCTTTAGCCTGACCCTTCACTTTATGGTGCTAGACAAGCTCTAGTCCACAACACCACCTTTGTGCCTTGGATGCAGAATGTGGAGCACATGCAACCCCTGGTCTTCTCTGCAGCAGCTATGGCTGAACACTCGGCAGTGACATACTCTCCAGGTAAGCTTTCTCTTCCCCCCAAGCCTACCTCACGTCTTCCCTCTCCTCTCTCTTGTAGCGATGGATCATCAGTACCTTCTACAGGCTATGGCTACCACTCTCTCACTCTCTAACTATGGCAGCCTCTCACTCTCTCTGTCTGCCTGCTCTCGCACTCGCTGTAGCACGTCGTTGTAATGAGTCACTGTAGCACGTGCACTGTAGTGCGCACATTGTAGCAGCGCAAGGGAGAATGAATCCACGAGCTGGGGAATACAAAATCTTTTATAGTGTTTGCTTGGCCTGGCCTGCCTCCATTTGCCTTGCCTCGAAGAAAAAGGGCTGAGATTCCCTGATCTGTGTGGCCCAGATTTGCTCGCGGCCAGCCTGTTCCTGGACCCAGTGCACCTTGGAAACTTCTGCAAACTGCACTGAGCCTTTGGATCATGGTAACCGCCGGGACGTCCGGACCCAGGTGCGGACGTCCCGGATCTGGATGTCTGGATCCGGTGGACCAGAACGTCCGGATTAGCCCCCCACCGAAGATTTTTAGTGGGCGCCTGGAATGATGATTTGGGTCCCAGGCTCCCCTGAAAAGTCTTCGTTTCAATTTTGGGGGCTGGTAGGCCCTTCCGGATGACCGATGGAAAGAAAGAAACACTGCAAACTTGTGGGGAATGCTGTGGACTTTCTTCGTTGTGTTCAACTGCAATTATAGCCAGCTTCCTTCAAACGCTGGCCCTTTTCGAGATGTCGGAATGTTCCCGACACATGCCAAATCTACAAAATGACAAAGAGGAACAAACAGAACAAAGAAGAAGAAGAAGAAGAAGAAGAAGAAGAAGAAACCGAAGAGCCTAGCTCAGTGGGTACACCCATGAACTGTTGAAATACAGACCCGTGTTCGAACCCAGATGATGGAACTTGATTGATGAGTAAAACCAAATATTTCTGAATTGCCTGGGGCCGGTCAGCTCAATGATGATATCTCAAGACTGTCACCAAAATGAGAGCACGGTCATAGCAGGCCTTACCTGAAGTGTATCGGGGCATAGTTGCAGCCCTTATTCATTAAATCACCACTACCTCTGGTCCTGCTTTTGCTGAGCCTGATTTTCACTGCGCACCGAGTTTTGCCGAGTCTGGGTCCTATTGTATTTTCTTTTCTGGGACTCATGGCAGTTACATCCGAAAAAGAACCCGCCCCCCCCAAAAAAGAAGAAGAAGAAAAAAAACAGAAACTTCTCTAACGCGGTGATAGCCATCAGATACAGCTGGTGAGACTGTCCCTCGGTGAGGGCGTCTGCCCTTATAAAAAACAGACGAAGAAAAAAAAAAAAGCCTTTCCTTATGCTGCGATTGCTGTCTTATGCAGAACACTACAGTGCTGATGTGGAAGGGTTTCACACAGTTAGGCACCAGAAGCCCCGGTCCTAAGGACCCAGTCAGTCCTGGTACCAGGCTGTCCAGTAGTTGGGTACCGAAACACCGCAGTCCGGTGAGGTCCGCGGGTACATATAGAGGAAGTCCAGTCCCAAGTCCAAATTTGAAGCAGCGTCCCAAGAAAAGTCCGGAGACTTCCGGAAACACCCACTTTGGCAAGGCAGAGGCCGCGGGGGACCGGTACCGGTGCGAAGCAGGCACGAACAGTCAACTGCAACTATATGTAGCAACTACAGTGCCAAGCCAAGGAAGATGTTCATTTGCAAAGTTGCAGAAGTGCTGCTAACTGCTTGTGCGATAGTGCGACCTGGACGAAGGACGAAGCGCCGGGGGAGGAGCAAGCGCCCTGGCTACGAGAGTCAGCCATAGCTAGAGTAGTAGGGAAGAGGAAGACAGCGACCATAGCTGCTGAAGGTTACACCGCAGCTGTATTCAGGGTAGATCCTAAGCGAGAGACGTAGAGGGAGAGACTGAGAGCAGTGAGGCAGAGAGGCTGAAGAATTGAGAGAGAAAGAGAGGAGAGAGAAAGAGAGAAGAGAAAGAGAGAGAAAGAGGCCAGAGGAAAGAGAGAGGGGAGTTGGGTACATACCTGCGTGTGATTGCACTGTTGAGTCGCAGCAATTGCCGCTGGACATTTGACCCCTCCAATTGTATATTATAACAACTTTGAGTGGAAACGTATCTGGCGCTGCTTCATGTGTCATCTCTCTGGTCTGGTGTGAACTTTTGTGTGAATACTCTCACCTTACAATGTGCCAATTGGTTTGAAATTGCGAGGTTCATTGCAGATGTGAGTATGGCGTGAGTGAGGAATCTGCCCTGCCCCACAAAAAAGAAATGAAAACAAGGAAAGCAAAAACGGAATAAGCAATCACGTTCTTCACATACTGGCCAGATACATTCCTCAAAGCGCTGGTGTCACTTCCACCTCCGTGAGGGCCTTCCCCAATGAAAACAAATGAGGAAAAAAAAAAAAAAAAAAAACTTCCTTTATGCTGCAATCACGGTCCAATGTAGAAGATACAGTGCTTATGTGAGTATGACGTGAGTGAGGCAGTTAGGTGCCCCCCTTGGAAACCGCTCTGCCTCGCTGGCAGTGCACGAAAAACGAAAGAAAACAAGGAAACACAAGAAATCATGCTCCTCATATACTGGCCATATACATTCCTCAAAGCACTGGTGTGACTTCCACCTCCGTCAGACCGTTTCCCGACGTCGCTGGATTAGATGTTCTTAGTTTTTTTTTTTTTTTTTTTTTCCTCAGCGACGGCCCGCGGGGTCCCAAACCTTTTTTTTTTTTTTTTTTCCCTTTCCTACCAACCCTACACCGGACCCCCAAACTTTTTGTATGAGGTCATTTTCCCAAATGGGACTATATCTTGGAAAGGTAGTGGTGGTTTAAAAAGAAAAAAAAAACTTGAGTGCTTTCAATCCTCCATGTATTTCCCGACATTCTCGTTCCGACACAGTGAGGGAGGGAGCTGACACAGCAAGGAAATGGAAAGTTTGTTTTCTTTTTGTTGTTTGTTTTTTTAACTCAGATGCCACGACTGCTCTCTTCACTTTATCCAGCTGTATTCACGACCAGGTACGACGCGAGGAGCTTGCCCTTTTTCTGAGACAGTGGCCTATCTAAGGGCACGCACTACCACTTGCTGGACGTACGTATCCGTAATTCCACTTCGAGCTGGATGTATCGTAAACCACCAGTACATGGCCCCAGGCACCTGGAGAATCGTTTTGAACCTCTCCGGAAATTTAGGAGGCCGAGCACTGTAGATAAAATGAATCAGCGGCGGGCGGCCTCCGAAAGGGTCCCGTGGTAGATATCTGGCATGTACTGGACAATTCCGGCCAGAGCTCAGTCCAAAAAGTTGTAGTGTGAGTATGCGGTAATTTGGTACAGCCTTGAACTGTTGAGTTCCAGGGCCTTGCAACACCGCTGTAGAAACGGAAACAGAACGAATGCATCTGCCGCAGAAAGTGGTAAGATGCATCCATTGCTATTCATAGTAACGGATGCATCTTGCCCTTCTCCGCAGGAAGATGCATTCGTTTGTTTTTCGTTTTCACAGTGGTGTGGCGACGCCGACAGATCCACTCTGAGTTACATGGGCTGACACTGAAAGGAAACGGGGAACAAAAAAAGAAAGTCAAAGACGAAAAAAGAAATGGGAAGTTGGGGACTTTCTTTTCTTTTTCTGTTTTTTTTTTTTTTTTTTTCCAACCCAAGTACCGCAACAGCTCTCTTCACTCACGCCATACTCACTCTAGGGTTTTCTGGATGTATCTGACAGCAATTTCATGACATGATCGGTACCTCTGGCCCTCAGCCCTCCTCCGCGCAAGCATGGGCTCGAACCGGCGACTTCGGCCTCAAAAGCCAAGTATCGTAACCTCTACAGCCAGGACACGGTCTTCAAAAGCCGAACCATACTGGCTGTGATATCCGCCCCACCCCTACAAGGCTGTAGTGTCCACACTCGATGCACACCACACACAACACCACACGGATGTTGGCAATCACCGCACACTTTGCTCCAAGTAGCACATGACCCCAATCGGTAGTATAGCCCGCTCACTTATGCGGGACTACCCGCCAGTTCACGGGAGCTTACCAATGTCATCGGATCAGTACCTCTGGGCATCAGCCCTCCTCCATGCAAGCACGGACTCGAACCGGCGACCTCGGCCTCAAGGGACAAGTATCATGTTTTGCTATTCTGTTTGTTCTCTTTTTCTTTTTCTTTACTGAAGGTTATTCGCTTTTCTCAAGCACTCTATCACGTTCCTCAACTTGTCTTTTTTCCGTTGCATTGGGCTTACTTGCTTCTGTGGGCAACACAGCTGCTGTTTTTTTGTTTTTCTTGGTAGTCCGGACATAATTGGATCCCTGAAGACTGTCGGGACTGTCCGGGTCTGCTGACGTCTGGTTGTTTGGTGGTGTCCGGATCACCTGACGTTCCGGACCGGTCCGGACACAGGTCCATAAATCTGTCCGGAAGTGTCCGGTGTCCAGGTCTGCGGGTTACCATGCTTTGGATTGTGTGAGAGCTGTGGCAGTGGCCGACTACTAGGAAATCTTTGACTATTTGATTTCTGTGCCCGGGTAAGGCTGGACTGTTGACCTTCCTGGAATCCACTTGTGACGCTGGAGGCATGGGGTGCCTATTTTGCCCCTAGACCGAGTACCTGTTCACCAAGGGATATTCTGATGCCTCTTCAGAGTAAGGGAAGTGACTTTTGGACCCTAGAACTTCAGCCTAGTCATGTCTGTAAGGATTTCATACCAGTTCTAGAGACTTATCAATGTCCGTAGGACTAACTGTTGACTCCTAATCTTTGCTAGGTCAAAAGCTACGATCCTTAGACTTTGAACCTCAGGTTCTACCCCATCTCTTGACTCTACAAGAGTCTGCATACCATAGGTCTTTGACTGAGATATGGACTATAGACCATATTCTGTAGGATTGAGGGCCATTACGACGGACTCTGGGACCCTACAGTCCTATTTCTCATGCTTAGCCTTGACTCAGACTTCGGATGCATGTTTTTGTGCTGGATTTGAACCCGGGTCGTTGCACGTTAGGATTGCTACCCCTCAAGGAGCGTTGGCAGCAAGGCCGTTTTTCTGGTAAGTTGTGCGCTGATTTAAGGTTGAAGTTTTGTTAAAGGTTGCTGGATGCTGTGCATTGATGATTTTGGGCGGGTCTTGGGCACACTCTTACTGAAATGTCCAATGGGCGCAGGCATATGTGCGCATACCATTTTCCTGTGGCTCAGTATCTGCAGTCGACAATGGGCATTGATCTGCATGAGGATCTTTCAACGTCGTCGGATTGTAAGCATGCATGAAAACGAGGCACCCGGCAGAAGACAAGAGGAGGGGGATCAAGACAAACAAGGGGCTGGAAAAAGTTCCCCGTTAAAGATGAAACGATGGAACGATACAGAGTAGATTAGCATGGCCTGTGTAAGGATGACAAGCATAAGGGCGGAAATCAGTAGATGATCCAGAAACAGAAGGATGTTATGATCCTGGCCAATTTCGAAGTACACATTCACCAGAAAGTACAATGCCGTCCAATTGCAAAAAGAAATGAATGAACTTGAGAGGAGAGAGAGGGAAAGAAGAAGAAGAAGAAGAAGAAGAAGAAGAAGAAGAAGAAGAAGAAGAAAGAAGAAGAAGATGATGTGGACCAGCATAGACCAATGATAATGCTCTTCTTCTTCGCCAACCACTCTCCTCCTCCTTATCTCCCCGCCTCTTATTCAATCAAGAAATAATAATAACAATGTTGAATGGCTGAACCAGAATCAATGTCCGACTCCCTCTTCTACTGCAGGTATCACATGAGGTCCAACATAGTCATGGCACCCTCCTCGTTCCTCTTCTCGAAGGCCTAGGCTATGGCGGACTGCCAGGGCCTTGCCCTGATGTGCAGAAGACAACTCAAGCAGCTATGGCTGCTCTAGCTCAGGGCGCCATGCCTGACTCTACCTCGAAGCTTCTTGGTGTAGCTCTAACCCTGCTGGGGCCTTCTTGCTGCAGCGCCCACCAAGGTGATGAAGATGGCAACCACCATAACCAGGTAAGTACCTCTGGCGCTCCCCCTTCCTAGTCTCGGTCTTCTTCCTCCTCCTGTCCTTGCTCCTTCCCCAGTAGCGCTGTCCCCAGCAGTGCTGCTCCAGCCAGCACTCCAACCAGTGTGTCACCAAACTTGCACACCGACAATGAGGAGGAGCACCTTGCTCCTCCTGGAGATATAGCGGTCTGCTTGCCTCTTGGCGAGTGACTTCCCAGGCCGCGCGGCCTCCAAGCAACCAGTACCTCCTCCCTTTCGGAGGGAAACATCATTGCAGACTCTGATATTGCTCGTACAGGCCCTAGACTCAGACTGGTTGGACTGGTACCCGCCTAGACCTAGCCTACAACTACTGGGCCTCTAAAAATGCCAACTTTTGTCGTCTTCTGCGCGTCCTCGAGCACCCGGCACATCTGCCTCTACTTGGTGTGGTACCGGCCTACCTGCTACTTGAGTGTTTTCCGCTGTTCTAAGTGTTGCGGGCCTCTTTCCCCGCCACTTCAGTTTTTTCCCCGCTGCAACCGTCAATGTCACGGCCACAGGTAAGTACTGGCCCTTCGGGCCTTTCCGAACAACCAAGTGCCCTTGTGGGTCACACACACACTCAAGCTGACAAGCACTCAGACAGGCATGCAGACCAGTAAGCATGCACGCACACAGACTTAGAAAACTCAGCAACAAGCGGGAAACTCAGTAAGGCATGCATTCCAGAGCAAAACTCAGAAATCAGCTGTGTGTCTCAGTCCGTGTTTGGCAGGTCATTACAAGGAAATAAAACATAACAAAACTTACAAAAGACAAATACGCTGGCAATGCGTCGAAAAAAATGGAGAACAGTGTGGCGATTGACACTTGATTTTCACCTGCAGTGCAGTGCAGACCGATGACGGCCCAGGTACCAGCCAGCCACCAGCACACACACTCATGCATGCACCACGCACATACGTATTTCTGCACATTGGTATCCATGGCTGAGCAAGTGTGTAGAGCGGGTTTTATGGCTGTATTATGTCACGGGTTTGGGGTCTTTGGACCGACAGTCTGCCAGGGTTGCAGGTTTGGTGTGAGTAAAGTCGATCGCTTTTCTCAGGGGTATCGTTTTCTATGGACGACGTGGTGAGTCCTTATCCCTTAGTCAAATGCATTCTCAGCAGACTGTTGGGGTTCAACATTCTGATGAGTCGGTGAAAGTCTGACGAAACCACCTGGCATAGTTATGCTTTTTTTGTGGAGTTGTGCGTAGCGAACATGACAACAGAGTTCTGCACAGATACGCAGCACACATGTCGACACACACGCAACATGCACACACACACACACGCGTGCGCTCGTACTGATTGCTGTTGTAACTTGTAACTGAACTTCCACAATTTTCAATTTTAACACAGCCTAGGCAAAATTTTGAGGCCAAAATGAGTCATTCCTAAAAGTCAGGGGACTAGCCCCAAGGCGGGCCTGGGGGCGAGCGGAATTTTTTTTTTGGTCCCACGTGTCAGGGTTGGCACTGGTGCCGCACGGGACCAAAAAAAAAAAACCTGCCCCCAGGCCCGCCCTGGGGCGAGTCCCCTAACTTTTAGGAATGACTCGTTTTGGCCTCAAAAGTTCTCCTGGGCGGTGTACTTGTGGTTTAAGAAAGATGTTAGTCTGTATGACTGAGAATGGGAGAGGGAATTCGAGAGATGGGTATCTGATACTTTGACTTTGAACACATGCGCAATGCGCACACAAGAGAGAGAGAGAGAGAGAGAGAGAGAGAGAGAGAGAGAGAGAGAGAGAGAGAGAGAGAGAGAGAGAGAGAGAGAGAGAGAGAG